AAAAAAAAAATTAAAAAATAAAAATAATACTTACATTATTGAACGTTTTTTTCTATAATTAAAACTTTGATATACATATGATTCCAATATTATATGAAAATAATAATAACTATATAATAAATTATAATGATACAATAACAATAACAATAATAATAATAATAATAATAATAAAGAAGAAGAATCGAAAGAGAAAATAAACCTAGTTTGGCCGTTGAACTAATCGAAATGGAGGTTGCCTTAAAGACGTTCCTGGAGAAGAAGTTGTAGGTGAAGGTAATGGATAATTATTATGATGATGATTATGATTATACGAATAATGTTGTTGATCAGAAGGGTGCCAAACAGGAGACGTTGGATAATATGAATTATCATGATGATATTGATGAAAAGATTGTCGTTTATTATTATTATTATAATAATCATTTTGATTTGGTAAGACCCAATGATCATTAATATGAGAAGATGATGATGACGATGGTGGTGGTAATGGTTGAGACGATGATAATTTTGGTGTATTCCAATAAAAAGGTTCATGCTGTTGCTGTGATGGTGATAAAGGATCCATTAAATCATTATTATAGTAATGAAATGGAATAGAATGTCTTTGATGATTATGATTATGATAATGATCGTATGGTGACGGCGGTTGTTGCTGTTGTTGGTATGGATACATGTCATGTTGCTGTGATGGTGATAATAAATGAAAAGGCTGATTTCCATAAAAAGAAGGGTCTTGTGATGACAAATTCGTACTATTATTATACATAGTCGGTGAATTTTGATTCCACTCTGTTGTACTTGGCGGCGGATAAAAGGATTGCTGAGTGCTAGGTACTTGTTGTGCTGGTAATGTTCTATTGTCTTGTATAATATAGCCTAAACTTTTATTTTTACGTTCATCACGAATAACTAATAAATACATACATGCATACATGTAATTTTTTTTTAAAAAAATAAAAGAAAAAAATGATATATATTAACAATACTACTTTTTTTTGTTTATTATTATTATTTCTATTTTAAAATATTATATTTACTTGGCTTTGAATCTGGTTGTGTCTTAGTGCCTTCAAGTATAAGAATAGGCGGTTTGACTGAATCTTTTTGTAATACTAAAATAGGAGGAACTCCTGATAAATAATGTTTATCACAATCAATACGATAAATCAATCGTCCATTTTCAATAGTACCAACCTCATCTCCCATATCTAAATAAAATAAATAGAAGAAGAGGGAGAGTATAAAATAAAAAAAAGATAGAAAAAGATATAATAAAAATAGAAAAATGAAAGAGAGAGAAAGAATTAAAAAAAAAAAGGTGAGAGAATATATTTTTAAAATTCTAAAAAAATCATGCGGGCCGCAAAAACGTCACTTACAATCTCCGCCTTTTTCGCTCAAACTCGCTCACTTAACTCCTCCTTCTTCCATTATTTTATCTCCCTTTTTTTTAAATATTTCTCACTTCTTTTTCTTTCCTTTTTCCTTTTTTCTTATTGTCCTTTTTTTTTTTTAATAAAACGTCTTTTCTTTTACTTTTTTGCTCTTATTAGCTATTATATATTTCTTTAATGTCCTCAGCTGCTAACACCTTACAGCGTCAACTTAAAGGTAGATAGATATGAATAAATATAAACCATACAACTATTCCAAAAAAGCTTGGTTTTTTTTAAATTGATTTTATTATTGTTATTATTATTACTATTGTTTTTTTTTTAATATTTTAATAGATCTTACCAGAAATCCAGTACCAGGATTTGTTGTAGAACTTAAAGATGACAACATCTATGAATGGTAAAACAATATATATTAATATTTATTATTATTATTGTTGTTGTTGTTGCTTTCTTTTGATATTCACTTTATTATTATTATAATTATTATTATTTATTATAAATACCATAGGTCGGTGGCAATTATTGGATTACCAAACACTATTTATGAAGGTGGTTACTTTAAGGTAAAAAGTATCGATTTTGTTATTTATTGATAGTTGTCGTTGTATTCAATACTCTATAATACTCATATATGTGCTGTTTATTTATTTAGGCAACCATGACCTTTACCACTGAATATCCTTTTAAACCTCCTACCTTTAGTTTTGATAGGGAATTCTATCATCCTAATGGTAAAAAGAAAAAAATAATAATAAAAATGGTAAAAGAGAGAGCGTATAATATAAAAATAGACATGAAACTAATCAAAATCACCTGTTTATATATTATCATTATTATTTCTATTATAATTTTAATCTTTTGATTATTAGTATATGATGATGGAAGATTGTGTATATCCATTCTCCACCCTCCAGGTGATGATCCTATTAGCGGTGAAAAAGCTGAGGTAATATAAATATAAATCACAAAATCATTAAAAAAATGGTAAATAATGGAATATTAATAAATAATATCTTTTTTTGGTTTATAAATATATTAGGAACGATGGAATCCAACTCAGGTACTTTTTTTTCTCTTTTTTAAAAAAATAAAAAATGAACAAAAAAATACCTCATAGAATTAATATATATATACACTAACTATACCATTTTTCTATTCATTATAGTCTGTTGAAAGTAAATATATTGATAATCCATAAAAACAATAGATATTTTTTTTCCCACTAAAAATTATATTTATATATTAATATTATTTTTATCTATGTATTCTAATTAGGTGTTTTAATGTCAATTATATCATTATTAGCCGATCCAAATTGTTCAAGTCCAGCAAATGTAGATGCAGGAGTAAGCTTTTAATGAATATCAAAAATAAAAATAAAAAAAAAAAAGATAAATAAATAATTCTTCCCGCCTAAACTGTTATCTTTTTTTTTTTCTACCCTTCTTTTTAATAGGTAGCTTATAGAAAAAATCGACCACTTTATGATGAAATTGTTAGAAGTAAAGAATCATATTTATATTTTATATATTTGTTTATTTTTTAAAATATATAAATATTTATATATACATGCATATCTACATATTTAAAAAATTATTTCTTTTATTAACATTATTATGATTATTATTTGTTATTTAGAACAAGTTGAAATTTCTAAGCAAGATATTCCCCTAGGATTTAAAATGCCAACTTCAGAAAAAGACTTTATGATTGCTGCACCAGTCGAAATAGAAGAAGATGAAAATTTGTAAGTATTATTATTTCTTTTTTTTTTTACATTATACTAACATATATGCATATATACGTATTGATCACGTTATAAATGTTTGTGTATGTATTATAAAAATAGCTGGTATGAATCTGGTGATGAAAGCGATTTTGATGCTGAAGATGACTATGAAGATGAAGACGACGATGATGAAGATTAACATATTCTTCCATGTTCAAAGCATCTTATTTATTTTTTACTACTACTATCACTGCCATTTATACATTACTTTTTTTTCACTCTTACTCAACTTTTATTTCTGTTTCTTTTTTTCTTTTTGTTTTATTATCACCACTCCATTACATTTTAATTACATTCAATTTTTTTTTCCTTTTTGTTATAAATATCTAATACTAGATATTAAAACCCTTTTTTATTTTTTTTTTTGGTACTTGTCAATAAACTTTTTTTAAATATTTTACATTAATTTAAGCAAACTATATAAATATATATATATTTAATTAAAACAAATATATATACTCATGTATATTTTCACTTTTTTTGTATATATTAAATTAAAACGAAGATTTTTCCTGGTTTTTTCTTTATAAGTATAAATAGACTATCTAATTAAATATATTATTTTTTTTTTGTATGATACTTGAATAAATGTATATAAAAAAAAGGGGGAGTCTTTACCATTATAAAAGGGTATAAAAAGTAAAATTCATTAGTATAAATATAATAATTTATTATAATAAAACCAAAAAAGAAGGAAAATATGTATTATAAATAAATAAAAAATCCGGAGTTCAACTATGACAACTTGTCCGAGTGGTTAAGGAGATGGCCTGCTAAGCCATTGTGCTTTGCACGCGCGTGTTCGAATCACGTAGTTGTCGACATTATTTTTGTAATTTTACTTCGGGTAAACTATTAGCCTACCGGTGCGCCTAAGCTGTGTTTTTCGTAATGTTTATTTTTATTAAAATAAAGTATGAGTTTGTATTTATATTTATAATAAATATGTAAGTCCCAATGAGTATAATTTTCTCGTTTTATAACTAATACAAAGTAACATATGGTAAAAGTAAATATTTAAAAAAAATTCAAAAGTATAAAACTTATATGCAAATGAATTTTAAAGTCAGAAGATAGAATATTATATAAAAAGGGTAATAATTATATAAAATAAAATGAAATGAAATAAAAAGCTTTCACTTAAAAAATAAAATATATTTGTAGTAATAAAATAAAATGGTTCAATTAAGGAATTGATATAAAGTTAAAATAAAATAAAATTAAAAATATTGTTTATAAATTGAACAAGTTAAATATATATTTTAATTAATGATTAATTTTAAAAATTTACAATGAAAAAAATAAAAGTAAAAAGAATAAAACAAAAAAGCAATTCTATTTTTATTAAAATATCGAAATATATTTTAGAGAAAATGAATAAAATATAAAAAAATATACTATAAGAATTATTTATAATAATATCAAAGTTGATTCATATATCAAGATAAAATAGAAATTGATTCCATTCATTGTTTTGAAAAAAAAAAAAAAATCTAAAAAGGTTGTCATATGTTAAATAGGAAAAGTAAGCGAAAAATTATTTGGAGGGGTACAAAAGAATAACTTTTTTTGATTTCCAACAATTGTACTCTCTTTCTTATATACTATTTTATAATTGAATATATATGAAGGATGAAAAGCCTACTAGATTGTTTAATTTTAAAGTAAGCCAACAACAGCAGCCTTTTCAGACTAAAATAAAAATATTATAATAAGCCTAAATATTTTATAAGATAATAGCGTAGAAAATAATAATAATAATATAATATTACATATATCTATAAAAGAAGAATGTAACCAATTTACCCTAAGGTGTTGGCTAACGTTGTAAATTAGAAAAGATTTACTCGATGCAATTAACGAGTGAATAATCCTATTCAGTAAGATTTTTTGCAACTGAATTAGATCAAAAAATAATAGCCATAAACATATGTAATCTATATCATTAGTATCAAAAAGGTTCCCAGAAAAAAAAGTAATTTTTTTATTTTCTATTTTTTTTTATTATTTTTATTTTTTATGATAAAAATAATACGAAATGCTACATTTTAAAATATAACCAAAAAGCATTTATTACTACTCTATTTATAATTTATTTATTATTTCTAAAAGTCAGTAATATTATATTATAAAGTGCTTGATCAATATAATGGTATCATTTATACAGGAAATCGTGCGCTGTTCTGTGATTGCTGGGCTTTAATTTTCCTGGATATCTTTATAAAGCAATTTTTATATTTCATTCACTTTCTTTTCTTTTGCTTTTTGAAAAAAAGTGTTTTTATTTTTTATTTTATTTTAATTTTTAAGTTAAAAATAATATATTTTGTGATAAATATGATTTTTATTTAAATAGTTTAATCTTTCGTTGAATTAATAAAATGTTTTTGGTTTTAATATTGTTTCCATATATAAAACAGCGCCTAGTATTTCTTCAAGTTTATGCATTGTGTTTAATTATAGTTCCGCTTAAATTCCTTCGACTAACGACTAATATACTAGTCGTTTTATTTTATAATATAATAGAATAAATAAACAATATACTGTATATATAGTTTTTAAAAATCAAGTAGTCTTGTTTTTATTTATTTGGCATTTAATAGAGATATAAAAAAAATTGAATATATAATAGTAAGCTAAAATATATGAGCTTTTTTTTTGTAAAGCATTCTTGAAGAGAGTAAATTTTTTTCCTTAATAATTCATATAGTTTGGAGAAAGAGAGAAAGGAAAAATTTATGGTGATATATTATTTTTTCCCGTAAAAAAATTAAAGGGTAAAATAGGAAAAAAGAATTACTTTGAATTGTAAAAGTAAAGGAAAATGGTAAAGTAATAAAAACATATATTAAAAAAACATATATCTACATATATACATACATACATACATACATATATATATATATATATATATATATATATATAAAGTTAAGATGTATAAGATAAGCCCAAAAACTATCAAAATACAAATATCATAATCAAATACAAAAGTATACTAATATATGTATAAGGTAAATGATATTACTCAACCAAAATATTCGAAAAAGTAACATATATTGGATAAATTATCATCCAATATTACACCAAATATGTAATAGAGTAGATTAAAACTTATTAATGGACGCTGGTTAATAACATCGATCAAAAAAGTATTTCAAAAGTTGTAAAATAAACCAAATTTACTCTTATTTCATATAGTTATGTTGAACCAGGATATATAGAGGATAAATTTGAAAAAAGATAAGTATAGATACAGTTCAAAAAAAAGAAAAATTGAAAAAGGTGAAAAAAAGCAAAAGAAAATTGATAAAAATCAAAAAAAAAAAAAACTAAATAGCGAGTTAAAATTTCTGCTAATAACTATGTTTTTCTTTTGTTTTTTTAAAATATTAATCATAATAGTAATAATAATAATAATAATAATAATAATTAGAGTAAAATAATACAGATACCTTTCAACTATATTTATTTTGATGAAAAATCAATTAAACCAGTAATATATAATAGATATTATTAAAATGGACTATTATAGTTCAAAAATATAAAGCTTCTGTTGTAGAATATAAAGTTATAATTTAAAATAAAAATAAAAACAGGGACACAAGTGCTTTTTAAGTAATATTATAATTTATCAATATTTTAAAATAAGAATAAGATAAAAGAATATCATTATAATTATCTATCCTGGTATCTAATTCCTTTAAAATAAGTAGTATATGTTAAGTATGTAAATGATACATATGTAGTAATAATAATATAGTGATATAAATTAGTACAATAAATATTATAATAATAATAATTTACGCAAGTTATTATAGCATTATAGGAGATATTGTATTATATAAATATTAAGCGTTAGTATTGATGACGCATTAATGGCATAAAACAAAAATATAAAAACTCTAGAAAATCATATGATTTCATAGCACAAATGCTGAGCTTACATTTGGATTAATAGTAAAATGCGCGCTTATTCATTTTTCTTTGTTTTTTATTTTTATTTTATCAAAAATTAAATTTTTTCCTTCTATATAAGATATCAGAAAATAAAGGATAATATTCATACACATCATATAAAAAAGGTTCAAAATATCTTGAACTTGATAGCCAAACATTATTTTCAAAAGATAGTGATATTCCAATGAAGGAAATTGATAATAAAATTATTGAAATTATAACTACAGTACTTATTAACTAGAGCTTATGGAATAGTAAATAAAGGAAATGAAAACAAAAGGAAAAAAATTTGTTGATGCTGTTGTTTACAATACTGTTTCAAATATTTTGATAAAAAAAGTGAAAATGAAAAGCGAAGAACTTACTTATGGTGAGGATATTAAAGGTCCTATTGAATTTATAGTTGTCAAAGATAAACTTATTTTAATGACTATTGAAGCTAAGAGACAAAGTTAAGATCAAGGTAGAGCACGGCTTCTTATGCAATTATATAACGGTTACCTTCAAAATATCAAAATAGCGCACCAATAAATCATGTAGTGTATGGTAGCGTGGCAATGGTGAATTCATGGGAATTTATTTGATGTAAATAAGACGATACAAAAAATAATAATATTGAATCAAATATTATATAGAAATATAAACGAAAATTTAACTCAATTGAAATGGATTTGGATGGAGATTAAGAACAATGGAAAAATAAAATAGTACTACTTGTTAAAAAATCAAATTACATGAATGGACATTCTATAAATCAACATGAAATTAATTAAAATTTTATTTTTCTATATTATAATTTTATAAATTATAAATTATATATATTCTTCATATCATTACAATTTTAAATAATTTACGGTAAAGAAGAAAACAGTTGATGGAAAAATCATTTAATCAGCTGTAGTATATATATATATATATATATATATACGATTAGATTTTTAAATTACAAAGAAATAATATTATTCTAATTTATTTAATAATAGTATATTTACCAAGCTGGACCATTGTATATTTATTTAATTATTATACGATATATACTATGCATTATCTAATAATTTAATATTAAAGATATTATTATATATTATAAAATTTATACACATAATACTATTTTTAAAAAATTATATCATTTGAAGAATTAGCTCCATATGTTTTAAATTAATTCATTGTATTTTATTTATCTGAATATAAGAATATTGTTTTCATTTTTAATATTTTCGAATATACATTTAAAACAAGTCATCTTTAAAGGCTACTTTTCAAGAGAGTTAAAGTAGACAATACTAGTTTATTTTAAATATGAAGAAGAAAAGGTAATAAAAAAGAAAAAGTAACAATAATATAGCCACACAGAGCCATATATATATACAAATGATCTTATTATAAGTTGTATTCAATAGTACTTTATTATTATGGTTGTTTTAATTTTATTTAAAACAATAGTTTAAACTTGTAAACTAGCTTAGCATGTACACCAAATTATATAACTCATATCACTTCATTTTGGATATAAATAATTTATCAGCTCTTTTATGAATATGCTTTACGAGTAAATCAGTCCTAAATATATACATACATATACACTATTTATGGAAGGATACATATATCAGTTGACCTATCACACCATTAAAGGAATAGGAAAAGGGACTCAATTTATATACATCAGATATATGTATATATATATATATATATATATATATATATATACAAAAGTTGCCGAGATCGGAGATTTACTTGATTGGACACATGTAAAATAAATAAAAGAGGTTTATCACAAGTTAACAAAGTCAAAAGAAAGCAGCTAGATTTTCCTTAAAATACCTTATATAATGTTCATTAGTTAATCAATGAAAATAAGATGAGTGGA